TAGGATTATCTCCCTCACACGTTTCATTTTCGTCTGACGACGGGTTGGTGTAACCGACTTGAAAATTCACGAGTATACCTCGATTTTCCGACGAGCCTTCTCCTTTTATTATATCGCCTCGGAATGCATACTACCTCCATTATTCATATGTATATATATAAAGAATTTAAACATTAATAACAAAAGGCCATCGTTGAGACTTTTTGAATTAAATAACTTATTACAAAACGTTTTTTATCTGCAAAGGCACGAATTGGTTAGCGGTCTCTTATTGTTGTTTTGCGGCGACGTCCTATTTTTGTACAAGTCAACGATGTCGGCCCAGGTGGTTGTACGCGGAAAAGGCTTTTCTTAAAACAAACGGTACCGAAAATCGCCTTTAAGGACTGCCAAATTTTAACGGTAAATATGACCTTTGTATTCGAGGAGCGGTCAATCTGTCGACTGACTACGGTTAACACTAACAGAAGGATGTTCTTTAATATGGTAGAATAGGTTTTCAATTACGACGGTATGCACTGACGCCGATTGGATCCCATAATTCTACATTGAAATGTTTCTGTCAATTGTTATAAGGAAGTGTGTATCTGGCTAAATTTTCAAGAAACCTTGCACCATGCGGCCTACAGCCGATTTTATCTCTATCAACAGCCTGAGTTCGATCCTCATGAGTTTCGTTTTTGTAACTTTTGAAAGACATAATCACAATTAGGAGAAGATGCTAGTGTAATAAAAGTTTGAATTTGTGTAGGTTAATCAACTTGAACAATCCTTTGGGGACAGCCGCAACGTCTTCTGCTCTGTGGCATACAAACAGACCATCAATAAATTATTAATATTTTGTAGTTATTATCATTGCTCGCTATATTTCACTTCGCATGTGTTTCCCTTTTTTGTGCACTTTCATAAAGTAGGTAGGCTAGGTCCAGGTCGCGTGTGACACGCGAAGATGGGACGTTTAGTTTGGTCAGCCACCACATCCGCACTAACCTACGGTCGTCATAACACAGTCTTGTTATCGGCGCAGGGCAGGGAAGTGGGAGAACAAAGTGTGGCACATGCCGCAGAAGTCTGCCTCCTTACGAAAAATTGCGCTCGATTTATCGGTACTGCGTCTACTCCGTAGGGTACTCGGTGGACATTGCTGCCTACGATGGCCGGACTGCAATGCGCATATGCTGCTTTATAATGAATAAAGAGAGTTGAAAATAAGATATCCGCTTGACCGTCCGCAGACACAATGGTTTAAAAACAAACACCCAACTGGTTTATCAACCTATGGTTGCCGAGCACTAAAAGCACAAATATAATGTCCGAATTGAAATAATGTAACAGAGATAGAGGTAATATGGTCGATTCAAGAAACGCAGAAATCGACGTCACTAGAGCTGCACTGGAAGGTGCGCCCTGAGGATGGGTAACTGGTGGATGCAGGGAAATCGTTGATTGACTGGACGCCACTATCAAACATTTCACAGCAAAAGTACTAATGTGTCCCTGTGTTCTTTCGCGTGGTTGCGAGGTCTTCTGCCACTCCCCTTGATAGACCATCAGAAAACAGAAGAGGGGAAGGTAGATTCGACACGTACACACCTAACTAGGACGCAGATATGACAGGCAGTAGGGGTGGTTAGAGGGCGGCGGTGAGGGACGTCCTGCGGTGCATTAAACATATGCGAATTATTTTGTAGGGTTCATCGACGGACCAGCGAAAACAAATGCAGTCTAGGCGCGACATTCAATTGTTTGTGGAGGCAAAAGATCCTGCCATCAGCTGTTCGATGGAAAGTGGGTGCCATGGAGTTTCAAGCAAGCGCTAATGACCTGGTGTGCACGCTATGAAAGAAGGGTTGGGAAGGCAAGATCAGTAGACATCAATTGTCAGTTGGCTACAGTTGGAGTGTGGACATGCATCGAATCTGCATTGAAGGAGTGGCTACGTGTCCAAGCCAATATCTTTCACTTCAATTTCAAGAGGGTTTGGAGACTGAGACCACGATAGCAAAACGCAAATGGTGCGTTCGAAATGCTGTTGGTGAAATGTAGTCAGTGGCACTTCTGGCAAACCAAAAGCGTGGTCCTCCTAGAGTCATGTTGGAGTGCATGGAGTGGTGCTCATTTGTAGAGGTAACACTTGGTCGGCCCTTACGAGAGCCCACCTGAGAGGATCAAAGAGTCTCCGGATGCACATATGCTGACCTTGGCGAGGGTACTCTCTCAATGCCCGTCACTTCACGATGCCTATGTGCTAATGTATCACGATTGATACCGGCTGCACGAACTCCTTGTGTAGGCATTTATTCGGATGCCTGTGTCTGCCATTGGTAAGCAACCGACACATCTGGCGTCTCCGAGAATAGTGGATGGTCGATGCTGATATAGGACAGTCGCAAGCTGCGATGTGGTCGAAATAGGTTAAATCGATGATATTCCAGTATTTCTCTAAAACGACCGAAAATGGTATTAACAACTATTGCGTAATTAATAGCAAGGTTTATAATATAAAATATAGCGAAAAAAATATCTGAATTGTGCAAGAGTAGCGTTTCATTAGCCCGGTTAAGAGAAGAGTACTTGCTATCTGTCTCTCACTGTAATTAGGGAGTTCACTTTTATGTCCGTCAGGGGTTGATCACAAAGCAATGAATAATGCTTAATGAGTCAAGAACAATAATAGGGACGAGATGAATCGAGTTTGTTATTTCTGGCTTATTTCCCGACAGCAATCGGTCAAACACATTCTATATCAGAGAGGTTGGATGGGAGGAGGAGGAGGGGGAGGAGGAGGAGGAGGAGTAGAAGGAGGTCATAGAACGCTTGAGTCAGTGCCAACCTCCCCCTCCCCTCGTTGGCGGAGTCCAATGGAAACTGCAAAGTGAGTGGTTACTCTTCATTTCGTCATGGGGAAGCTCTATTTTTCAGATGTTTCGCCATGCATTTGGTGATAAATGTTACAGAACGTATTTTCTCGCAGAATGTTTTGCACATGGTTGGGCCCACCAGGTGTCTATTCACGTAGTTCCGATGGTCGTGCAGCGAGCTGAGTATCATCTCTGACACAGATAAACAGAATTGCTAAAATCTGTGTTCGTTTCTGCAAACGTTTCCCTGCTATGTTGTTACAGTTTGTAATGACCGATCGATAATGCTTGTCGACCGAAGTCAACTTCTTCAATATAAGCCATTATTATGAGCAGGGACTGAGCAAGATTGCTAGATCAGATATCGTCGGCAAACAATGACTACGAAACCTGCCTTCTTTTAAACGCTGTAATATTACTTTACCCACACGTACTTCCAGTTTTCTTGAAGCTGTGCTGTTAGACGAATTTGGGTACATATATTTCTCTGGGGTTGTATTATGCGTCCTTAATCGTTAGGCTTCCTAAAATGAAATTTTAGGAAAAAATATGCCTAGTTTCATTGTCAGTTAACAATTTTATCAGCCCAGATTTATTTTACTACCTATCAAATTATTTGCTGTTTGGTTAAATCCAATAATAAAGTTTATCCGAATTAGATTATATTATATATATATATATATATATCTGCAAAATATATATATATAAGTAGGTGGGCTGGCTCATGAAATGTCGATCGAAATTCAAAAATGCGTTTTCGTTTCGAAAATGTTTACTAAGTGGTTGTAAACTGGTCAGCCTGCAACATAATTCTGTGATATTTCAATTATAACAGGATGTCGATTTGTGAATGAACTTCCTACCGGCTGAATGCAAAACATTACTCTGTAAAAATGACTACTTCAGTGGGATGAATTTTTGTCCCTGATTTTCGATGCCCCTAAATTTCCAATTATATTACGTTGAAAACACACATAAAAATATCCATTCTTGTGCTCAATCAGGTAGACAATTACGTCTTTTTCTAATTTTATACCCAAAGGAGGGATATAATTCGGTTCTTAAAGGAACCTAATTGCTAGACTTTTAAATACCATGAAATAGCCGTTCATAAATTGTCCTATTTCTGCATTTACCAATGCGGCTTGTAAGAATAAAAATTTGGATCAAATCCATCGCTTAATTTTACGAAACCTATAAGGTACCCTTTATTATCGCACTAGATAGATGCTTGTAATTTGGAAACTCTGAAGGCAAATGTGACGGTGCAGCGGGATCAAAATTACTCGGGAATTGGAGAAATATTTGAAAACCGAATTGTACCGTCTCTCCAAGTATAAAATTATACAAAGACGTAATTATCTAACAAAACAGCAAATGAATAAATATGTCTATGCATGTTTTCCATAAAATAAATTAGACACTTGGGGCATGAAAAATCAGTAAGAGAAATGCATGCTTTATTCGCGTTCACTTTTTAAGAGTGCAGTTTTTTCCTGCAGCCGGAAGGACGTTTTTCAAAAGCCAGCATCCTGTAGTAACAGAAATATTAAAGAATTACGTCGTAGCCTGACTATTTTAACAACCCTACCTAATTATTCTTTTAGAAATGAAAATGCATTTCGAACTTTCGATTGGCATTTCATTAGTTAGCCCTTTGCCTCTGCCCCTGCGCACCTCGGTGGTTGCTGGCCCGTTGCCTGTGTCTCATTTATCGGCCTGCTGACCCCCGTCCTCGGTGTTTGGGCGCGAACTGTGTTCATATGGGCTTGTTTTTTCCTGACTTCCTGCCTTCGATTCCGTTGATTGAACCACTCTCGTAGGGCCTGGCAAGCCGCCGAGAGAATCGTGCAGCGGTTGATGGAAGTTGGTACGGTGTGCCAGGCTCCGAGCGTTTCCCTGGTTGTCTGGTCGGTAAGTCGGCCTATGATTTAGGCCGGGACGCGCATTTTCGCTTTAATCGACAATATATATATATATATACTGTAATTTTTGGATATAAGCGAAAATGCTGACCCCGGGTGTAGAAATGGAAGAAGGAGATAAGGCGTTATCTGGGGAGGAATATTTAAGCGTCTGACGTTTCATACTCGTACTCGAGCACACCATCGCAGAAGGGCCAAACGAGAAATACATGGTTTAAATAGGCCATTCGTGCCGGCGCCTGATAGGTTGATCTCGCTCTCCTCTTATTGGTTCTCCTCTCGCGCGCAAGTGGTGCCTGATGGCCTCGTATGGAGCTGGTAGATCAATACTGCGATTAATCGAGTTGGCGTCTGATTGCCAGGCTTCGATTACTTCTCTCGCCAGCTTGCTTTCGGCTCGGCCGAGCACTTGGGCACCGTCAAAGTCGAACACGTGATTATTTTCTAGACAGTGCATGGCGAAGTGCGAGCGTACATCCTTTCGCTTTACGGCTAAGGCGTGCTCATGCACGCGCGTGCGCAGACGTTTGTCCGTCATGCCGCAGTAGTTGGCCAGACAGTCGAGACATTTGACGCGGTAAATGACGCCTGACGTGTCTGCAGGTGGTAGCCGGCCCTTGGGTTGCACGAGTAAGCGGCGGATGGTGGCCTCCGGTCGGTGTCCAACGCCCACGCTTAGTGGCCTTAGCATGCGCTCAGTGGCTTCGGAGACGTTTCTCACATAAGGCAGAACGCGGAAGGTTGCAGGCCTTTGCGTGTTCTCACGGTCGGCCCTCGTATGTCTTTGGTATAAGCATTTGTTTACGAAACTGCGCGGATATCCATTGGCAAGGAAGAGGTGCCATAGGGTTTCACGCTCCCGCAGCTTTTCGGCTTCTGTGCTGCAGTGTGTGTTGATGCGACGAAAAAGCGTCCGGACGCAGCTGCGTTTATGAGACGGGGGATGGTTACTGTTGTAGTGGAGAATTTTCTCCGTGTTTGTCGCTTTTCGAAAGACACCAGTCTGAAGCGTTCTGTCTTCTTGCCTCGTTACCTGAACGTCGAGGAAAGGAAGCACTCCGTCTTTTTCTTCCTCCATGGTAAATTGAATTTGTGGGAAGACGGAGTTCAGTTGCCTTTTAAAGTTCTCTTTCGCGTCCCGGTGTAAGATGACAAAGGTGTCGTCCACGTAGCGCATCCAGAACTTCGGCTTGTAGGACTGAAAGACTCGAGCTTCCAGTTCCTGCATGACTGCCTCAGCCAGATAGCCGGAAATCGGTGACCCCATTGGGGTTCCCTGGATTTGCTCGTAAATTTCACCATTAAAAGTGAAGTACGTGCGTAGGCAGTAGTCCAATAGTTCCATCACGTGCTTCCGCTTAAACGGTTTCCCCTCTTCGTCGTACTTTCTCTCCAGTAGGTCATTGATGACTTTCATGGCCAATTCTTTTGGGATGGAGGTGAATAGAGAGACGACGTCAAAGGATACCATTACCTCGTCGGGGGCTATTACAACCCCTTTGAATTTTTTCAGGAAGTGTGTTGAAGATACGGCTGTGTGTTCTGAGCCGTTTGTCAGCCTCTTTAAATGCTTTGCGAGCCATTTAGCCAGTCCGTAGGTAGGCGTGCCTTTCAGCGCCACAATGGGTCGTAGGGGAACATTCGGCTTGTGGATTTTCGGCAGACCATAGAAACGCGCTAGGGCAGCGTCTTGCGGTTTCATCTGTCTCCAATCTTTCTCGGATATTGCCTTTTGATTCCTCATTTTGTTCAGGCTCTTGTTGATTTTGCCTACCAGTGTTTTCATGGGGTCGGCGTCAACGACTTTGTATGACTGGTCGTTGTTCAGTAGCTCTTGGGCTTTCGTCACGTACTCCGACTTGTCTAGGACCACGGTTGCCCGTGAAAAGCCCGTAAAAGCGAATAAACTACACAATGTGGTATATGTTGCGTCTTGTTCGTATGATTATTGGAATCGCTTTATTTTTTAAAAAATCTTATCCAAACGTCTAGTAAATATTGTTTCAGTGAGTCGGAGCTGAACCCTAGAACATTTGATCTCCGTTTTTACATCCTTTATACTAAGATCTCAGAGGGCCCTTCTCCCAAAGACGAACAAGCTAAAATGTTGGCCTATCAGAAGAGGCCGGATGTTTCAACAGTCTTATGTCCCATTATTAACCACTCACCTCCAATATTGATGTCTCTTCGTAAACTTTCTATGCGCGCGTGCGGATTCGCCGTAACAATATTTATTAATCTTCGTCGCTCTTAATTATGTCCTTTCTTCGAGTATAAAATATCCAGATGACGTGATTCTCTACCAAATGACTGAAAGAAAGCACGTCTTTGTCCGCGGTTTTCATAAAATATAACTTAATTTGCAACACCATCGAAAATCAATGGGGAGAATGCATGCTATGCAAGTAGTAATTTTTTACAGAGTATGGCTTCTACATGAGATTAAAAAACAGTGTATTTAAAAGCGGACATCCTGACACGTCCAAAACATCTTAGGATGATACCGCAAGGTAATCAGTTTAAAAACGTACAGCTTAATTTCAGCCAGCATTTCACGAAATCGGTCACTCACTGTATGGCGACAAGGTTGTTCTAAGTCAAATTTGCTCGCTGCCTTGCCTTCTCATTTTCGGCTTTTATCGATCAAGGCCCAGTACGGAACAGATTACAAATGTTCGTTACTTCTATGAACCCAATATATTACTACCGAATGAGTATGACGAACAGTTACCCTGTCCATGCCGTTGGGAGAAGGATCGAGTCTCCCCACCAGCTGACATTCTTTGAAATATAAATAATTTGTACGCCGTGACAGGTTCCAACACATCAAATTTATGATGGCGAGTACTGCAATAGTGTGGCGTGAGGACAGACTGCGCAGTTTGGTTGGTATAGTATTCGAGAATGCGCCTCTGCCTTAGTGTCTTCATCTACGATCTACGCTGATAGTCAGCGATCGGTCTATCAATCAAATCACACAGATGAACTTTGTCCCAATTCCCTCTTGCTCGCGCCTGACTCCATTCTGCAGGACCTGCTTCCATGGCCTGAAGGTGATGCGCTAAGATCCAAACTCCCTGGTCAGGCATCCGCGTCTGCAAAATGACGAAATGACGACAGTTAGTATGCCAGAAACTAAAATACCGTTTTCTTTGTCTCTCTTTTAAAATTTAAAACATATTCTATCCTTGAGTGGTCATAAGGTCGTACTTATTCGGAAGTCTCTTAGTAGCCCAACTTCACCTCGGATATGCCATGATAAGCCAACTGATAGCAATCAGCGTATTCTTAGCTTCCATGGGGCTCAAAACCACGACAACAAGAGAGAGCGTGAGCACAGTTCAGGCTCTAGCCACGCGGGTGCGATACCAAACTGGGAGCCTTGAGTTCAATCCTATTTGTTCTAAGTTGACCGCCAAGTTTCCTGTAACGTATGGAGTCCTCCCAATCTGATACCGTTAGCTGACTGCTCAAGTAGGATTGTCTAACTAATAAATCTAAAATCCACAATACAACCCATCCATGGCACTCAAAAGCGTAAGATGTGAGTCCCCTCCGCCCCACTTCTATGAAAATCTGACATATTTTCCGAGGACTAGATCGCATGTGGCACACGAAGACGCACCCCCCCTCACATACGATCGTCATAACATGGTCTTGTCACCGGAGGAAGGCAGGTAAGTGAAAGGATAAACTGCGGCACATGCCGCAGCAGTCTGCTTCCCTAAAAACAATTGTGCTTGAGTTATCGGTGCTGCCTCTTCTTCGTAGGGCACTCGGTGGACATTGTCGCTTAGGATGACTGGACTGCAATGTACGCATTCCGGCTAAGTGAGTTGAAAATATGCCATTTTTTTGACCGTTTGCAGGCATAAGTATTGTAAAATACTCTTTGCTGAGCACTAAGAGCATAGAGTAGTGGTCAAATGAAAATAATGTTACAGACATAGAGATAATCTGGTCGATTTTAGGAACGCAAAACCCGGCGTCACCAGAAATGCATTGGAAGGTGCGTTTTCAAGATGGGTAAGTAGTGGAAGCAGGAGAGCCGTCGACGGTCGGTGCGCAAAGGCAGTTGGCCGCCAGGTCTACCAAGCACCTGCCTAGATAGCTTCTAACGTAAGAAACAAAATCTTATGTTTCTCCGTTACAAAACGGCTGCTTGATAGTAACCACTCCGTCGACCCTGAATCATCCTTCCGAGTACTTTTTCGGCCACGTTCAAATCTGAAATTTTGTTACCTGCCGGCAGATTATAATCAGCGGGCAAAATCAGATCTTGGAAAACAGATAGAATATATGATTATCCTACATTTGCTATGGCAACCTCTGACTCCATGATTTCACATTTTCCTTTCGCTTGCTCGCAAACGGTCTTTTTCCAGTGTTCTTCCCATATTGTGTTTAAACTACTCATTATAATGATTTGCTGGCATTGGTCAAACTCATGACATTGCGGATTCTCCATCCCATCGTCAATGCGTTTGAACGACGATATTCTTCCCTTTCTTTTATATGTTATGAAGCGACAGGACGTGACATGTGAGCTGTGGCGCACTTTTTGACACCAGAAAATCCTGCCTTACAAATTTGCATGTTTACGATTTTACCTGCCAATTCTATTTAAATTTATTAGTCATTTACCGGTATGGGGCTTTATGGAAACATTTGACCCTATAACAGGCCTACCGGCAAAATCAAGTAATACCCTAGTTGGCTGCTTGATCTGAATCTCGATTAATGTAAAATAGTGGAAAATACGTTAAATTATCAGAAAGCCGTTATGGAATCGAAACGCAGAACGTTGGCTGTTAGGTAGTGGCACTTATTCTGAAAATGTTCGTATACATTAGCTTCACAGAAGGAACACTGTGTCAATGACGACCTTAAGGCACATTCGAGGGTTTGTGGTTTGAACAGGTATTGAGTTCGGAGAGCTGCCAGTCCGGCGGTCGACTACGGACACCATCAGCATCAAGGTATTCTTCAACACTGTGAAGATGTTTTTGATTATAACGACATTCACCGACACCGGTCGGACACCATAACTTTACATGACAATGATTCTAACAATAGTTCTATAGACATATGAAGCTGACAACGCTTTTAACCGTAATCTGGCCTATTGAGCAACAAAAAAGCCTTTAGGCATTTGTCTTACAGTCGATTTTGATCTCTCTGAATATCCGAGATCTCATTCCCATTAAGTCTTTTTCAGTTTATAACTAGACATTCGCACAAGGAGGAGAAACTTTAAATGCAAAAAGGGTTGGATTTTGCGCTCGTTATCCTCATTGAACAATCCACTGTAGAGAACGCCGTCAACTCATAGTCTGAGAGAATTTCTGATGTGAAAAATGCAAATGGACTATCAACAATGTACTGATCTGTTGTAGTCGTTATAGCTTTCCGTTATTTTCCCCTTTTCGTCCGTCCCTTTTCTTTATACCTTTTCTCAGTTAGCTGTATGCAAGAGGGTTGTAATATAAGTATTTTCAAAAATTACATATTTTTTTCTAGGCGAATGCTAATATACTGACATGTTTATGTCTTATGCTTAGAACGGTATTAGTTTCACTGCTGAAACACTTTGGAGAACGTTCATTAGACAGATTTTAATAAATTTCTTTTTGCTTACTTATGAAATGGTATAAGTCTTCTGTCTTTCGCACCGTCAAGTATTATTTTACTTTGCTGTCATATTTTATCAAGAGTTTTAAATGAGCAGTCTTTCTGTTCATCGAATAATGCATCTCAATTGATTACAATAACTTTCAGAATTTGCTGAATGTTATGTTTTTTTTAAATGGTATTTCCGAAAAACCTAACTGAGTCTTTGATATTTCTTTGATCTTTTCCACTCCTATTATCTTCTTCGTTATAAAAACGGGTAGTGAGTTCATGCTTTGGTACCTCTTTGCTAACGATTAACTATCCTCGGCGACATTTGACACCTTTCGTCCGCTTAGCCACATAGTGTATGTTTTTAGCTCCTTTCAGAGAACAGGTTGTTGTTTATTTCGCCGTCATTATTGACGAACACAAACTTGAAGGGTGACGGTCAAGGCTAAATGCAGGGCCGCATGTCGCCCTTCTCGGTCAAAAGGTTTTAAAGCTTGTGTTTTGCCAGCATAAACAAACCATGGTCGTAGCAGCTTGGTATGCGTTAGCAGTTCCTTCACGATTGGTTCCCGGCCGGATGATGCGTTTGCACTCCTGCAAGGCATAGAGGTGATAAGCAAGGCTGCTTAGTCCTCATCCTCGTCCCTCGGACTCCTGTTTTAAAAGCTGTTGCTGTTGACAAATGCTGTTCAAGAGTATTTTGTGAACTAGGGGGTTTGGTGATCGACTAGGTGCGGGTCTGACCGTGCCAGCCACCTGAGCCCACCACCTCCTCCGGTCTTTTTAACCCGGTTTTGAGACCTGGTCTAGGTGGGGAGTGGGGAAGAGAGGAAGTGCAGTAGATGCTGCACAAATCCACTATAAAGTAATAAACGCTCAAGTCACAGTGCCTGCTGCATCTTGCTGTGTTGCACATGGTAAAAATCATCGGAATTGGCGGTTGAAACGAAATTCCATAATGGGGTTGTAAAACTTGTCATCATGCAGCATAATTCTGTAATAAATCAGCTACGTCGGGATGCCTGCTTTCGGATGAACTGCGTTTTAGCTGCATGAAGAAACCATACTCTGTTAAAATTA